TGTTATGTCTATTAATTTATATTCATAGAGGGAGACATGAAAATTATATGTATATATCATTGGAATGTAATTGGTTAGAGGTGGGATTGCTTGCAAGTTGGATCAGATCAGTATAGAATATAATTAATTAGCATAATATGGATGGTGAAGAGGGCTATGATGCAAAATTCATGCACTTGAAAATTTGCCCAATTCCCCCACAAAAAATGGTTGCGGGCTGAGTTAGGTTGGTTAAGATGCCGACTGATTAACTGAGATTTAATATATATCATACGACAAATAAGAAGAAAAAAGAAAAAAGAAGTGATTATATTAGAAAAATTGATTTGTTTACGAGAAAATTTTGGCTATATGAAAATGACCCATAAGTCGACATGACAAAATTTTGGTTGTTTGTCATTTGTTTTTATTTTATGGTCATGAGTACGTGTGAGCTTATGATTAAAAAAGGAAAAAAAAAAAAAAAAAAGGGAAGGAAAAAAAAAAAAAAAAAAAAAAAAAAAAAAAAAAAGGGAACGTGTGAGCTTTTTTTTTCTTCTGTTTTTTTCAAGAAACATGTGAGCTTATTCATATTATTGCTAATTCAATTTTTTTTGAAGGATTATTGCTAATTAAATTGATTATTTCGTTAAATTCTATTTGATTATTTAATTTGGGTGAATTTATTGAATGTAAGCTGACATTAAATTAAATAGTTAGTTAATAGGTTTTGATTTAAATACTTAAATTAAGGGGAAAGTGAAGTGAAGTGCAAATAAAGTATGGTCAGTTGGTTTAGTGATAGTTACTGCTGGGATATTAGAAGAAATGGTGATCTGAGATATATTTATCCAAGATAGGTGATTCCATTCAAAATAGCCGAACCAAACCCAAACACAATTTGGTTTGCTTCCATGTCGAATCAATTTATAAGTTTCAGTCCGATTTCGATTATCGTGAAACTTTATTCAGTCAAATTAAATCGAATCGATTACATTTAATTAAATCAAATGCTCACTCTTACTAATAAGTTTGTCAATAAACTGAAAATGTTTTCCTCTCTTAAAAGAGGAAAGTAATTTTCCTTAAAAATGGTTAGCTTTTTTTTTTTTTTTTTTTTTTTTTTTTTTTTATCAGGAAAGTATTTTTCTTTTTTTTTTTTTTTTTTTTTTTTATCAGGAAAGTATTTTTCATTGACTAATTTTCTTGAAACACCAAAATGTTAGAGCATCTAAAAAATTTTTTACTAACAAGTTATTTTTATGAAAACAAATAGATTCTAAAGTTAAAATTTAACTTAAATATTTTCCAACTCCATGAATGTTGAATCTAAAATATTTTTTTGCTTTGAAAAGGAAACATAATTCATTACCTCAAGGGACAAAATCCAACAAACAAGGACATCATCTCAACTTTGGAAACGAGCATATAAAATAGACGCTCTAGCTAAGGAATGAGAGCATCTATTCGCTTGTCTCCGAGCCCATGTGACACTTATATTATGCCTAAGCTCTAAGATTCTCCTACAATCTGAAATTATTAATGCATATTCAGAGTTGTTCATAACCAGTGAACTAACAGCTTTAATAAGGTTTTGGCAATCAGAAAAAGTACAACCATTTAAAGATAAATAATCTTGCGCATACATGAGACAAGAACAAAGTGCAATGGGTTCTAGTATTTCTGGATTGTTATTGCCCTCTTGGTTCCTTGGCACATCCCTTTGAAATCTCCCCTCACTATCTTCAATAATAACCCATAGCCAATAAAGTCCGTTAATGCAAAAATTGCACCATTGATACAGCCAGTCGAAGTTATGTGGAGTGATAGACCCTGCTATATAGGCATGGCAAGACAGCAATGACGTAGACGTAGACGTAGATGTAGGTCTACTGAATTGGTCACAATGCCCCCATTCCAGCATGTACAGTGTGGTGTCGACATTAACATCCATGGCTGAGCATCCCTATTTGATTCCACAACATTTTATTTCTTAATGCCCATATTTTCCAAGCAATAATTACAAGAAATTCAGCAGCTTCTTTCTCTCTAGAGTTGAGGACCTGCAATAAGAATTTTGGATAAGAGATGATAACATTTGGTGCACCAAAACCTCCCAACCTCCATGCACCCATCGACATATTGCAATGAACTAAAATATGATCAGTATCCTCCATATCGTTGCAAAAAAGACATCTCCATCAATATTCATCCGTCTCCGATTCAACCTCTCCTTCGTGGGAAGCAAATTCCTACTAGCACGCCACATAATATCCTTGATCTTTGAGGGAGATCATGTGACATCCGACTAACTATTAAGTAAATGTTTGTATATAAATGATGTATAAAGCAACAACATGACATAATTTTTTAGCATACAGGATGATATCAGCATGACAGGATATAGGTTCAACCAGATTATAGCGTCTCAGCTTGGTTCATTCGGGTTCACGGGTGAACCGGGAAGGGATGTTACAGATTAAGACTCAACACTCTACTCTAAATATCCCATTTAATACTAGAGGTTTCCTTCCTAAATATTTTAAGCTCACATGGCCGATTTGACCGTATAGACTCGCTTGAGATCAAAACGTAACATGAAAATGTCCTTTATCTCAAAAGAGATAATAGGTATCCCAGTAATTGCCCGTATATCCCTAGTACTAAATAACTTCATAAGCTTATTAATATCCCACCTTCTACCTCCTTCCACAAAAAGATCCCTCAATCACATATTAGGATCAACAAAGGATGTGCCCCCATCCACTAAGAAAGTATCCTTTTTTTTTTGGAATCTAAGGATCAGTAGCCACCTTAATACACTCACCATTACCCATCTTCCATCTAACCCTTTGCTTCAACATTCCACTAGAAAACAAAATACTCTTCCATATAAAACTCGGAGTTCTTTCTAAAGAAGCCTTAAGAAAATCCCTCTCCGGAAATATTTAGATTTGAAAATACGATAAAGGAGAGTGTTGGTGTCATTCAATAACCTCTACCATTGCTTGCCTAATATTGAAACATTAAAACAATGGAGATCTCTAAATTCCATACCACCATCCGATCTACGACTACACATCCTATTCTACGCAAGCCAATTTATACCTCTACCACCATCTCGCTTTGCCCCATCAAAATTTATTTATTACTTTATGCAACTCATTACAAGTAGATAAAAGAAGTAGAAAAACACTCATACAAAAGGAAGGGACAGCTTGGGCTACTGATTTTAGAAGAACCTGACGCTCTACTCTAATCTATTGTTCCACTCATTTATCCTTCTACTAAGCCTATCCTTTATATATCTTATTGTTCCACTCATTTATCCTTCTACTAAGCCTAATCTTTATATATATATTATATATATATTATATTATATAATATATATATATATTTTTTTTTTTTTTTTTTTTTTAATTTCTCTTTTTAATTTCTCCCGATAAGCGAAGGCAATCCAAGATAATTCCCCCCACCTAATGGACTATGAACATCAAGGATTCTCGAAATTTTATGTCTTAACTCATTATTCACTGATTGGCTCGAGGCTTTTTCATATTGATTAAGGATAACCCTAGAAGCTTCAAAGACATTTGCTATAAAAAACAAAATAGAATCATCCGCAAATAAAAGATATGAGGTTCTAGGACACTTGCTCCTTGCCCAACACCCATGAATAAGACCCCTCCTTTGCGCATCTGAAAATAACAAAGACAGACCCTTCACACAAATAATGTATAAATAGGGAGAAAAGGGATCCCCTTGTCTAAGGCCTCTCCCAGGTTTAGGCCCAATTCGACTACCATTATAATTAATTTAAGAAATAATCTATATAAATAACAATCAAATTAATGGGTACATTTTCCACGCTGATTAATTAAGATTTACTACTATAACCAAGAAAAATAAAACAGTAGCAAAAGGGTAAAAATTCCTCAACAAAAAAAAAAAAAAAAAAAAAAAAAAAAAAAAGCCAAATCTCACTAGAAAGGCAAGGGTACCAGAGATACCGCTAGGTTTGAAACTGCTAATTAACAAGATGTTTCTAATTAAGTTCTAGAAAAAATGAAATATTAGCATATATATGTTACCCTAATAAACTTTAACTGATAATGTTACAGAAGTTGTCTCCATAACCTTAGTAGAAGAAACCAATTAGTTTTTTATTTGGTTCAAAACTTATGAATTGAAGGACTGATAGTTTCAAATTAAAAATTTTGAGTCTTTAACTTATATATATTTTTAAGATTTTAAGAAATTGTTAAAGTCAGGAGTCTAATCTCCAACTCCTCGAGCATTAAATATTCAAACTATAGCTTATGTTATACTTTTAGAGAGGGTAATTGGCCTGTCATATGGACTTTGATAGTGTATAGGATATACCATATGCACATATACCCCGTTTTTTGCTTTACACGTATGCCCTCAATCTCATGTTGGTATTGGCTGCTATATGACTCACATAACCTAGTTAGGTCTATATTTCCCAAATGGAAATCAGACGATAGATAAGATAGATAAGAAATAATATAATTTAAGGGATGAAGTGAAAATTAATTAGAAAAGAAGAATAATTATAATTAAATCAGTTGTTTAAGTTAGCATTAATGGAGAGTAATGAGTGGCCAAAGTAATTAGGAAATTTTTTCTCTGTCAAATCAGTTGGCGTGAGAGAAGAATAATATGTTTCTCTTGTTTCATGATAAGCTTGTCTGTACAAAAGTGTGATTTGGATCTCAGCTTTTGCATTTTTTTGAATCAAAATATAAAATAAAATCTAATAAAACAGTGAAGGAAAACGATAGATGGCTATAGTTGACAGTTAAGTATAAAAAGTATAGAAAAGCAGTTAATATATATTGCCGCAAAAACGCAATCCAACCCAGATGTCCAACAAAAAGCTGGCTTACACCCCGACTCTTCCCGGACAGCAGTAGATTAACAACTGGTTTGCACTGAAACCCTCCTCATAAAATGGCTTCCCTCGCCTTCTCCTGCTTGAAACTCACAATCTTCCCGCCAATATTCCTTGTACTAACTAAACACCACCATGCATTACTCGCAACAACAGTCCAGCAACTCTACCGGCAGCGAAAACAACGCCGCCTCTGCTTCTGCTGCTCGACCCGCAGGGCGTCACCCAGTTTATAGAGGCGTTAGGCGTAGGAGTAGTGGAAAATGGGTGTCTGAAATTAGAGAGCCTAGAAAGCCTAATAGGATTTGGTTAGGCACATTTCCTACGCCGGAAATGGCTGCTATAGCTTATGATGTAGCTGCTTTGGCGCTTAAAGGTAGAGATACTGAGCTTAATTTCCCTAACTCAGCACCATCTCTGCCTGTACCAGCATCTACATCCCCGCGTGATATTCAGGCGGCTGCTGCCTCTGCAGCTTCTGCTCTAGGGGCTGCAAGAGACGCTTTGGGAATTGGAAACAATCAACTGGAGATCACTAATAATAATTATAATTATAATATTAATCAAACAGTACTAGGGCAAGAAAGCTCAATTATGACTGATCATCAATTTGTTGATGAAGATTTGATATTTGATATGCCTAATCTTCTTGTCAATATGGCTGAAGGGATGCTTCTTAGTCCTCCTCGCTTGGATTTTTCTGCTTCTGCAGATGCTACTGATGATGATCATCAAAACCCTTCAGTGGGGGAGCAAAATCTCTGGAAATTCCCTTAATTATAATTATAATTATAATTATAATATTATATATATCTGTGTAATTAATAAAAGTAATACTTTCAAAATAAAACTTGATAGATTAAGAAGTAATATCTTTTGTACTGTGGAAAGATATTACTGAAGGTGGTGGACCAGGGCATGAACAAAGAGTGGGTTTGTTTTTCTTTTTTATTTATTAATTTTAATTTTTGTAAAGGGTTAATTTCTTTTTCTTCTCTATGTTGGGTTTGCTGTAGTTGCACCTTTGCTGTTATGGTGATGCTTTGTGGAGTGACTGAAAGGAACCTTTTTTTTTTTTTTTTTTTTTTTTTTTTTTCTAATAATAAAAATTTCTGATTATCAACTTCTCAGTATCCTTTTTCATTACAACACCAATATGTTGTTGACTATTGTGCTAGTTTTTAGATTGTCTTCCAGCAGTTTTAACCATGGCATCAATCTATGTGGTCGATTATGGCCATTAACTGCCACCAACAGAATCTGCAACCACCAACTTAATTATTCATTATCAGAAATTAAATATTTCCAAATAAAATACCTTATCATATCATATCCAAGCCTTCAACAACAGACAAGAGCCGCCATTTTTTATAGCTCTGCATATTTGCAAGTCATTAACTCTCGTCCGAAATTATTACAGTATAATATAAATCTCCATGTCATTTATACCCCCTTGCCATTAATTAAATTTAAAACTGCATTTATTTCAATATAAATATATCAATAATAATTGCACTTATCCTAATAAAATTTTAAATCTAATAACTGGGAATGTCTTGTTGTAACAGTTTTATTATATAAATTCATTATTAATGTATTCAATATGAAAAAAATTAAAATGAAGCTTTACAAGTATGTATAGATGAGAAGGGAAATTAACTAACGGACCAGATATTATATTATGCTTTTTCAATACTTTTCTGTTCAGTTCTCAAATCAAAAGGAATAATTATAAGCAAACATATCGCATCCAATACGGTTTGGTGAAGAAAAGCATAGCCCAAGTTGCTAGGTTTAGTCAATTTAAATCATTAGGATGTTGAATGCTTCTTCTTCTGATTCACAACATAACTTATTTTTAATTATATAATGTCTTAGTTATTAATTAATTAAGTAATCAATATCAATAACATGTTAGTAAATTAATTAATTATAGTGTAGCAATTTACATTTACATAAAAGCCTTTTGATAGGTTAAAATAACATATGTTGGTGCTGCTTAAAAGACATGTGGCCCAGCTTAAACTTGACGTGTCACTCTCAACAAGTTGGATGGGCGACACGTGGCAAATAAAACAGTGGAAATTGTGACGGGTGAGATGCTGATATTTGACCTTCCTGTGAGTATTGTCCCCTACAACTCATGCATGGTGTGTATATAGTAATGTCTAGGTGCATTTAATATATAATCACTTGCCTATATGCTCTCCCATTTGGTGGGTGGTATCTATGGACCTAATTCCACTAATTAGAAACCACAGACGTAAAGAGGCAGGCATGACCACAGTTATAGAAGGGATAAGTTAATTTTAGTATCTCTCAACTTTCAATTTTCTTTTTTGCTATTTTCGTGTATGAATGAAAAATATTTTGAATCAGGTATTTAAATTTTTTAATAATTGCAATCAGGTTTTGCGGTGGACTTTAATACCCGGAATAATAGCTGGGTATGTGCGGAACGCACTTTTGATACGTTGGTGCTGATGTGGTTAAATTTTTTTTCACGTCCTCATAAATTTTTTTTCACGTCCTCGTAACCCGTCGACTCCACCATCAAGCCTCACTTTATTTTCCCCCTAACGTGAAGAAACTCAAGCATCACTTTGAATTTTGTTTGTTCTTTTTTTGGAAAATGAGCAACAAATCCGTTGGCTAACTGCTTGGTTTGGAGAAAATACGGGCGTGCCAGGTATGTGAAGTATACTAACTGAGGAATTATTATCATATTTGATCTGACTTCCAGGCTGTGGGTTGGATCCACAGTAAACACTTCACCGATTGTGCAATTTAAAATAAATTTGAATAGAGCAAATTGCAAAGAGAGCTTGATTGCTTAAAATGTAAAGGAAATTTGATTACTTGAAACGTAAATTGCTTGCTTAAATTGAAAAGAGCTTGCAATTACAGTAAATGTAAATAAATAATGTTTAGGAAAAATAAAGACAATGCTTTGAAATTAAATTGTTTGACTCATTGGAGAGTTTAATTTGAATTCATCGGAGAATTTTGGTTGGTTTTGTTGGTCTCTCTTGCTGCTTTTATAGGTTCCACAGACAATTATCAAAAGAAGCCACTGATACACGTTTCCATTAACTCATTTGGTCTCCCACCATCCTGTATGCGAACAACTGCTGGAGGAATGCGTTTGAGGAGTGCTTTTTTTGTTCAAATGCAGCCCACGTCTCTATTGTCTCTTTCTTTTAATTAATTAATTAACTAATTAATAAAAATTAATTAATCAATTAATTACCCAAAATAAAAATTAATTAATCAATTAATTACCCAAAACAATATTAATTGGGCCCTAATTAAATAAAATCCAAGCCCAATCCAAAATACTAAGCCCAATTCTAAAAAATCACAAAAGAATCCAACAAATGCCCCCGTATTAAGTTGGCCTGATATTTCATGCTTAATATGTTAATCCATTTTGAAAATTTTAACCCATTTATAATTAAAAGTACAAAAATTAAAAATACAATCCCAACAAATAAACAAAAAAACCTTTATTTCGATCACAGTTATTTTTACCAATTTGGTGAATCAAGGAGAGATTACTTTCTTATTATATAGCCCACAATATTATTTCGGCACATAAAACCTCTAATGAATTTAAAAGAAAAAAAAAACCATAATATTTCGTTCACTTTCTCTTTTAAGCCGCCATCCTTCATGGTTGTTTTCCTCCGGCAACAAAACCAATTTTGATGATAAATCTTTGCATTCTTGCTTGGGCCAATTTTGGCCCCCTGTGCACGCGCGATTCCATCTTTCTTTTATATATATATGATATATAGTATATATATATATATATTTATATATAATTATATATATAAGGTGTCTCAGTTCTTTCTTCTTTTTTTTTTTATGTTGCGCTATAAGGTGTCTCAGTTTCTTTCTTCTTTTTTTTTATGTTGCGCGCCCTCGTTAATTGCCACTGTCAGATCAAACTCACAAATTCTACTTTGCGTTTTGCAAAGTTACGATTCTTTTTTTTTTTAATAATATATATAATAACTAATATACATGTATATAAATAAATATTTAAATAAATAAATAATATAAATATATATATTCTTAGAAATAATATATTATTTTTTATATGAATATAATAGAAAAGTGAGTTTTTTTTAGATGACAGTGAATTTGTGAAATGGAAATTAATGATTTGGTTCGGTGTTTTGTCTTTGATTAATTTTTGAAGAATCATAACCATGGAACTAATAAAAAATTATTCCAAAAGCACCAAATTTTCGATACCAATTCCACTGGCAACATGTTTCCAAATTTTGGCATTAGTGAAAATAATTTCCTACTCCGATTAAGGGGAAAAACTAGTTCCTCTGAAATGAAATATAAATTGTGTACCTTTAATTTTTCGATGACAGGTTCCACTGCTTCGTTTGCTAACTCTTGGGCGGTGCATTTGCTAATGCACCAGCTCCTCAAGTAAGTTCCTTTGTTGAACTTTGCACCCCTCTTTTCTGCCAAGTTCTTTCAAGGGACATTTGTGACTGATTCCTCATCATCTCTATCAGCTTTTTCTAGATATATTTTCCGAATTGGGGCAACTCCCCTGGCTCATTCGTCGACAGTTTCCTCTTTTCACTGATTAAGATTTAGGTGTTCCATCTATCTCTTCTCCACAAGTATGTTCTCTATCACACCTGCATATCTTTGTTTGATCTACAGCTTCCTCTAAGGTACAGGCTTGGATAGAGAGTCATAGGACATAAGGTACAGGCTTGGATAGAGAGTCATAGGACATACTACTATGCTATTTCATAGCATTAGTGGACCTAGCACCAGTTTCAAGATACGATCATCAACTGACTCTCTTTTTTTTGAATTTTTTTTTTTGGATTTGTATATTTAAAGTCGTGAATCAGCTTTTACACATTTATGAAAGAAATGGACATGAATAGGTCTATTTACTTTATTCATGATTACTGTCGGATCAGCTATGTCACCTGCCTATAATTGTTGTATTGCTTGCTACAGGTGACCTTTCTTAATGGGACTGTAGGATCAACCCACTGCCATTGCTGATGATCCTTCATTTCCCACCTGGTGGAATATTACTCCTTGAGGTAACAGCTAATGGCATTTCTCTTGTGCGGCTCTCCTGTACTACTTGATAGCCAATAAGCGTTTCCTTTAGGCCCTTATGACCATCAAAAAAATATGATCTTCTGTTTCAGCTCAGGTTTCAACAGGCTCCTGATATATGAAATTCTTGAATTCCCAGGGGTGCTGAGGTCGACTTCCTCCAAAAGATATTGGACTTCAGTAAGAACATTATCCAACTTAAGAAATGTTAATTCTTCCCCGAAGATCACTTCAGCACCATTAACCTCAAGGTACTCCTCTGTAGCTAACCTTTCAAATAGTTGTTGCAAATAAATTATGGAGATAGTAGTTGCAGCTGCTGCCATCTCCTTATTAGTATATGACTTAATAGTCATGAAGCTCTGAGATATTATTAGTCTTTCACCTCAGCCTTTTGTAAGGCACGATGACTAATGATGGCATTGAACCAACTCCAGAAGTCTTTACAACTGATGAGCTATCAGAAGATGTGCTAGGATCCTCTGAATCTTCTCTAATTAAACACTCTAGTTGTTTTGTGGGTCCAAGTCCCTCTAAAAATTTTTGCTGCCAATATTGTTGCGACTGTTTAGGTGTCTTCACGGACTTCAAATTAACCTGTAGCTTCTTTAATTGATCAATCATACCCCTCAAATCTACTTCAACAACGTTGATAGATGCTACAAGTGGGAAAGGATCCTCATCAATCAGCATTTGCTCTTTATCAGGGAACGTCAACACTCCTCTATTAATGCGATCCTGTAGAGCATTCCTGAACCTCCAACAGTTATTAGTATTATGGTTCCAGGAATCATGGTACTTATAGTATTGCTTGCACTTCATCTCTTCTCTTATCGGCAGCTTATAACCAAATGGAAGAGATATAAACTTTTCCTTCAGTAAGAAATCAAATATCTCCTGTCTTAAAAACATCAA